AATAGTTTAGGGACCAAATTGGGCATTTAACCAATTAGTAACTACAGGCAGGCCCACTTTCCACCACGGGCGCGAATTCAACAGGCATCCCACGCGCAACCCCTGAATTCAGATGCCATCCGAAGTTCAAAAAAACCCGGTGATATGTATGTAGTCCCAGACCTGTGCAACCTTCTACAGTTTAGTTCTTTTTGGCTTCGCCTCTCAAAACCATTCTGCTCATTCTTTTCTTCTTTTGGCTATGTCTTTATTCTTCTCTTCCTTCGTCACCCATTGCAGTTTCTTCAACACATGTTGGAGAATTGAGACAGGATCCGCTAGTTGGGGTCTTCAGGGGTTCTTGTCTGAGGAGAAAGAAAGAATCATCGAGATCATGGAATTGGTAACCTCGTCAAGGTTCAATAAAGCTGTTGAACCAATGGAAACCCCAATTGGTTCCTTTGTCAAAGAAGACGCGATGGGAACAGGGGGGCAATCTCTCGATGTCCCTGTTTCTGCATTCCCTTTCCTAGGCCTAGGAGGAAATAAATTAATAACTTATAATAAACTTAAATTTTTAAATAATTGAGACATAGAGAACCTACTTTACTTTATTGAGAAAGTCCGTGAGAATGCCATGAATAAAGCGGCAGAATTTGTCAATGGCGATCACCCTTTTGCTCAATTCCCTTGGATCAAGAAATCTATTGACTTGATGGGTCTTAATATGATGGATGTTTATGGCGGCCTTACCCTAGTTGATTACTTTAAGGAGGCCAATCAGGAATTCAATAAGAAACAGAAACTATATTCTGCCTACTGCCCAACTGTTCCAGCATTCCCAATTCTGGGTTTTTCTATTCCGAAGAAACAGGGGTCCAACAGAAGGAAAGCGGAACAATGTTCTAGTGCCAGTTGCCCTGTCCCGCCCTTCCCAGTTCTGCTTCTTTCCGTGCCCAAGAAACAGAGATCTAACCGAGGCAAACCCCTGATAATCACTACTGGTAGTGGTTTTCTCAAAAAATTTGGAGCCCGTGTTCTTAAAGATTTTGAAACGAGATTCTCTGATGCTGAGCTTGTTGAACGTAAGAGGAACAAGAGTAAGAAACGCTGCCGTGAGAGTGAAGAAAGTGAAGAGGAAATGCTGAGTAAACCAAAGAGGCACAAGGACGGCAAGATTGAGAATAATAGGTAATGGCACAACTTGCTGAATGGGGTTTGGTGCCTCCACCAAACATGCCAACTGAATTCAAGAATTTGATTGAAGAGATGGGTGGTTCTGAAGAGAAAAGTTGCTTGTTGGGATTAGGCCCAACTACGCACACACAGGCCCAAGAGGAGGAGACATACCCACGTGGACAGCACCACGTGGACCAATGAGAGGCTTACATGTGCAGATACGTGTCAGCACTTGGGGCTATAAATACCCCCCAACCACCTCCGAATAAGGTAATTAATCTCTACGCTTCTCTCTCCGCAATTACTCCTTGAGAGCCTCTCTCTCTAAAATATTGAGTATTGCTGACTTGAGCGTTGGAGTGTTTTCCCCGAGGAAACAACCTTGGGATTTTCAGGTATAGAAGCAGCCGAGGACTTCAACAGTGTTGGACTGCGAAGTTGCCGAAACATTGGTGCCGTCTGTGGGAAACTCGAACAAAAAGCTGTGTGATTTAACCTGCTGAAAAACAAAATGGTCCATACCTTTACAGGAGAACGCCCCCCAAGAAATGAAATAGACGAATAGGAGGACGATCACGTATCTGAGGCCGGATTGAATGACTTTAGACCGATGCCAAGAAATCTTTTTGTAGGAGGAGCCGAACAGGATCACCTAAGTGAAACGGATGATGAAAGAACACCAACTGGGTATGCAACCCAGCTTGAACAGTTCCAAGCTCCAACAGGAACGAGACAAAGATCTGCCAGACCGAACAATGCACGGCGTGAATGACCTGAAAGGTCAACAGAACCTGCTCGGACAACCGAGCTCGAAGAGAGAACCAGAGTTCTCGAAATGGCAATGGGAAGAATCCTTGCTCGCTTAATCCCTGATGACCTCCTGATTCCTTTGCTGAACAGGGATGCACAACCAGCTGCGGTTGTGGCGACTAGAAACTCACCCGCTCTAAGCAATATAGTAGTGCCGACCAGGCCGAG